CTAATAGTCATTTCATAGTCAGAGTCAAGCAGACACAGTTTCCTTAGTCAGGTCATAGTCTGGTTTAAGTCAAGCATTAGTCAGACCCAGTTTGCACTGAGAATCTACCTGTAGCTGAAGCAGAAAATTTATGCTAAGTCCACCATACTCTTGTGTAGTGCTTGTTTATATCACCACTTTGTTGAAGAACTCACTGAGATTTATATACACAATCAAGTCACCAGACATACAGTGGTTTTTCATAAGTAAATACATGTTTGATACATTCTTAAACTAATTCATCACCACCATATAAACCCATGGTGTGGCCTTCTTCTTGTAAGACCATACTCCAATGAGATTTTTGATACTAGAGGTAGGTAAAACTTGAATGCCATCAGACCAATGTCCCTGCCACCTCTGTAACACTAGCTTGAGATTTATGATAGGCTGGTATACAACCACAAGTCCTAATTTCTCATTTTTAAAGAAGACTAAAGTTTTGCCAAAGATTGGCTTGTCATTTCCTTGAATTTCTGCTTCAAAATAGCAGGAGGACCTTGTTGTATTTCCTTTGCTTTCATTCAACTGAGTATTCAAGATTGTTCCATCTGGTATATGAAATTTCCCTCATTTTTTCAGTAAAACTTGTGGATCAAAGGGAATATTTGATGATGCACTGATACTTTCAAGCTAGTGATACAACTCTGTTCCAGGATTCCTCTCAACTTTTCAAATAGGTATTTCTTTGAATGGCTTTGAGCTGGTATTGGTGCTGGAATATGATGTAGCCAACAATGTCTTAACATTATGGGAAGGATAATATAGAAACAGAATTTTCACCAGTTTTCTTTCATATATGAGATTGGCCAGATTTGCAAATGGTGATTTTTTGGAGGAGCAAATCTTATGACCTAGTTCTCCAATAGCTCTCTCTACAGTAGCTTGTGAACCAAGGCTTACAAAGCCATTCTATTGTATGTGCATTGGAATATGAATTAGTTGGAAGACACATAAACAGTGTTACAATACACAACTTTTGGATCTTTAAATTTCATTCTCCACTATAACTTTCTTTCATAGGTTTCACACACTGTGCCATGTAGCACTTTCCATTTTGTTCAAACCCTGCTTTCTCATGCTGCACTGCTTTCCTTTATTCTTAGCTACACCAGTGCAAATAGTTGAAGTGTAGCAAGACTGCCAGGTGACGCAGTTACACTCAAGTAAGACAAAGTTACTAGATATATTGTCATTAGCAAGGATATCCTATTAAACTTCAATAAGGCTAAAAACTATAGCATGCACTTGAAGATAACAGAATCAAAAAAAACGGTCTGAAGAGCTGTATTTGTGCAATCAAATTCATTGGCTAGCTGATGCTCCACAAGTATAGCCAGGGAGAACATCAATGCCATGCTAATGGGCAAAAAGAGGCGCATGCGACTGATAGTAGGAATGATGTGGTCAATAATTAAATTTCCCTCAAAGGTTCCTTTTTAAAGCTTGTCAGAGGTGTACAAGAGACAACTATCTTGAATTTTTACCTTTTTTTGGCATTCTTAGCAAATTTGCAAGGTCCAATGGTGAAGTGGCCTCCATGGCAGCAACTGAAACATAAAGACCCAGACTGGCAATAAGCACTAATAAATATATGGAGCCTCCACCAACAAAGACTGCAAACTTGCTTCCAGTCAAGTGCCAGTCTTGGAATGTCCTTTTGCTGGGTTTCTTGGACAGATGTACAATTCCTTGATTGTATATTCTATTGAGAGAGAGGCCTGTTTGTATCTTGATACTACAATTTGAGATGTGAGCGAAAATTATTCAATATGAGAGAAAAACAAGTGTACTTACCTTTGACATTTTGTGACAAGCTGCATAAGGTTGACCATCAGAAGAAAGTTGATGGCTATGTCCTTGCCAATAAGTCCCTTGCAACGAGCAATAACTGACATAAGTGATTTGTCGAGATATGCTCCCTCCTGGATTGCAGAGTTGATGTTCTGGAGCCAAGCTTCTGGGTTGTGCGTGTCAAAGCCCCAGCAAGTGGATGAAAGAGTGGCAATGATGGCATTGATGTTCTCGCTTGTGTTAAGCCAGGGACTACTTTGTTGTCGCCATGTACCCTCACTGTTCCTTGACGGTCTTCCAACCTGAGGCAACTCATTGCTCGACGTGGGTGTCGACCTCTTGTTCAATTCCCGAGAGCAATTCGTGTGAGCGGGTGTGCGCCCCAAAGGGATGAGGAGTACCCGCTCTGGGCGACTGCGGCAAGGTGGAGGGAGTTGGAGGAGGGGTGTTGTTGGACGCGTGGGAATCAATATGACTTGCGATTGTTCTACTGCGTTGGCTACGGGGACTATTGAGTCAGTTGTGAAGGAACAAGTTGGGGATGATGGAGCGGGCTCAGGTAGAACAAGATCTGGCAGAGATGGGAGATATGCCAGTTGAGGCGACTGCGGTGAGGTTGGGGGGTGACGACCTGGAAATTGATGCCCCATTGTCGCGGGAAGGCTCAGCAAATCTGGGGGAGGGGAGGTGAGGTACCCTTGTTGAGCGAGAAGGTTCCTCGCGTCGGTGGCAGAATTCTGCTGTCGTGAGATATTCTGTCCAGGAGTGTGGTAAATTGTTGCAGAAGATCCGTAAATACATTTCTATCTCTTGGTTTACCCTTTCTGTTTCTCCATCGGATTGGGGATGGTATGCCGTCAATAGATTAACTCCGGTCTTGAGTAATTTGGCTAGTTCTTTGGTAACTTCTGATGCGAACTGTGGTCCCCTGTCGGATATGAGTTTGTCGTGTAGTCCAAATCTTTTGAACACATGTTGGTGAAATAGTTTAGCCGTTCCTAATGCGTCAATAGTTTTCCTGCATGGTGATAGTATTACCCCCTTTGTAAGGCCGTGGTCCACCACGACCATGAGGCTGTCATATCCATTGCTTTCTGGCAGATCTGTGATGAAATCAACGGACAGGTTTTTGAATGGTTCGGTAGTTTTCGGGCCCAAAATTGGTTGGATGGGTATTTTGATCGGATTGGTAATCACCTTGCTTTGTTGGCATGTGGCACATCCTGTGATGTAGTCTTTGATCATTTGTGTCATACCTGGCCAGTAGTAATATCTGGTTACTAATTGGGTTGTCTTCAGTTGTCCAGGATGTCCGGCTGTTACCGAATCGTGTTGTTGTCAAATACATGTTTTTCTCTCGGGTCCGATGGGAATATAACGGCGGTTCTTGTAGAACACATTGTCATCTTTGATGGTCCAATCTTTGGGATCCGAGTGCATTGGTAATTTGTTCCCTTCGCGTGAACTGTTTTGTATGTTGGTGAAAAATGGATCTGTGGTTGCTACTGCGGCAAAGACAGTTTTTGGGAGTAGTGGTGTGTCTTGTTCTTCTTCTTCTGTGTACAGGTCTGGCCTTCTGGATAGATTGTCCGGGATTGTCATTTGCGTTCCTGGTACGTGGTTCAGGGTATGATTGTACTGGGAGAGTAGAAGTTGCCAGCGTCGTTGTTGTGGTGTCAATTTTCTGGCTTCTTGCCAGTATGTGAGATTTTTATGGTTGGTTAGTATCTCCGTTGTGTGGGCACTGCCTAGGATATAATTTTTCCATTCTTCCAATCCTCTGATGACAGCAAGTAGTTCCTTGTCGTATATTTGGTAGTTCTTTTCGGCTGGGGACAATGTTTTGGAGAAGAAGGCACATGGATGCCATACTCCATTGTCATCTGGCTGGTTTAGTACCGCCCCAGTTGTGTGTTTGGATGCGTCTGCCGCAATTTGGGACGGTTTGTTTGGATCGGGTATCTGAGTGACCGGTGATCTGCTAAAGCGGCATTTCAACAGCGCAAATGCGTTTTCTTCAGTTTTTGTCCAGTTCCAAGTTCTCCCTTTTTCCAGTAAGGCATTGAGCGGTTTAGCAAGTTCCAAGTAGTGGCCAATGAATTTGCGGTAGAAGTTGCCAAATCTGAGGAACTTTCGCACTTCGTGGATGTTGGTCAGTGTAGGCCAATTTTGGATTCCAGCCAGTTTTACTGGGTCCATTTGCACCTGGTTGTGACGGACAATCATGCCAAGATATTTGATTTCGGCTACATCAAACGTGCATTTTTCTAGTTTCAGGTATAGGTCGTTTTTGCTTAGGCGTTGCAATACTCTTTTTGTCCGCAGGTAGTGTTCTTCTGGTTCTTTGCTAAATATGAGCATATCGTCCATGTATATGATAAGCCATCCTTTGTCTATCATGTCTGTGAAGAGGTCGTTCATCATGCGTTGGAAGGTGGCCGGGGAGTTGCACATGCCGAAGAACATCACTGTGGGTTTGAAGAGTCCTTTTCGGGTTTTGAATGCCACCTTCCATTCATCTCCTTCTTTTATCCTGACATTGTTATATCCCCAACGTAGGTCTAATTTTGTGAAGTGGGATGTTCCACGGAGTCGGTCTAAGAGGTCGGGGATCATGGGCAGTGGGTAGGGATCTCGGATTGTTTGTTTGTTAAGTTGTCAATAGTCTTGGCATGGTCGCAAAGATCCGTCCTTTTTGTCTATGTAAAAGAAGGGGAAAGCCATCAGAGATTTGCTTGGTCTAATATATATCCTTTTCAAAGGTTGTTGTCAAGGAATTCTTCTAGTGCAGTGTTTTCTTTTGGCAATAAAGGATAGATTTTACAATCTTTTGGTTTAAACTCCGGTTTTAGGTGTATGGCGTGATCGTAGATCCTTCTTTTGGGTAGTCTTTCTGAAGCCTTTTTGTCAAAGACCTGTGCAAACTCTTTGTAGATTTCGGGTAGTTCCGTTATCTTTTTTCCAACATTATTCTGGATAGCTAATTCCATTGCCGTGTTGGTTTTCGCAAAGATCCGTGTTTTGTGTACGTAGTTGATCAATAGTTCTGGTCGATCGATTGTGATGGTGCGAATCATGGATCAGTCGGAGAGTGATTGGATGGTGCGGATGGCATGTTGGGTATCCACACTTTTTGATGTCCAGTTTATTGTGGGGTTTACCTTGTGGAGCCATGGGTATCCTAGGAGAATGTCTTCTCCTCCTAATCGGGTGATGAGAAATTTGCACATGGCATTCTTTCCTCCTGCTTCAATTCGTTGATATGTGTAATGGGTGATTTTTCCTCCGTTGTTGATGGTTCCATCTACGTTTTTGCACGTGATGGGTGTTTCCAGTTTGTTGAGTGGTAGGCGATGTTTGATTGCGAATTTTGCGTCCATGAAGTTGTCTGTCGCTCCCGAGTCTATTGACGCTTTTGTTCCAATGGTTTTTTGTTGTAACGTGGTATCAATTTGTAAAGAGTTTGAATTGATTGTGGCTATTGTTACAACAGCTATTTTGGACGGTACCAACATTGGTGTGGGTTGTCCTTTCAAAAACCCTCTTTTTCCAATTCGTCAATGGTGCTGGCTCGATCTGCTTCATTGAGTTATCTCCACATTTTGAGGATGTGAGAAATTCCTCTTCCGTCTTCTACCACCGTTTCGGCTTCATCCTTTTCAACTTCTGCCGTTCTGATCCTTTGATCCGGTTGTTTTCCTTTCTTCTTTTCCGGACAGAACCATGAGATGTGTCCCTGTTCTTTGCATATAAAGTATCGCCCTTCTCTTTTGAGCGAGTCTTCTTCATCTTTGGATAAATGTTTTGCCGAGGATGATTTGCTTCTTCCTCCTTTCTCCTCTTTCTTCTTTTCTCCTTTCCTTCCCCATTTTCCTTTGCTGATGCTGTTCGAGTTTGTCCAGTTGGCATCTAGGCCAGCAACTGTGCTCATTCATCCTGCAATATTTTTGGGTTGTGTAGAGGAGTTGAGTACATTTTGAAGAAGGTATGGGCGTATGGAGCTTTTGTACACCATGATTAGTCCTTCGTCGTTTAAGCCGCTCTTTCCTGCGTCTACCATGAAATGGGAGTTGAACTTTACTGCCGTTTCTCCTGTTTCCATTTTCATCGTCATAAGGGCTGCACTGGCCGCTCCCTTTACATCCGCGGTAATGAATGTTCCATTAAAGTCGGTTTTGAAGTCCGCCCATTTCGGGTATTTGCCCGATCCGGTGTATTCCGTCAGTTTGGTCTCTTTCCATACTAGGGTGGCTCCCTCCTTCATGTGGGAGAGGGCTTTGAAGGCCTTCTTTTTGTTGGAGTTGTAAATGGTGTCGTTTACATCAAAGTATGCTTTGGCTGACAACATCCAGCCGTTGGCTCGGTCGGGCATTCCATCAAAATTGTCTATTTGTCCAAACTTAGTAGGTTTGGGTGCTGTGGTGTTGGACATGGTGCTAGTTGGTGGAATGGGAGATGGGTTGGGTGCAGGGGGGAGTATCTGAGGTGTGGGATGTGGTACTGGTTGGCCTTCTGTGGCAAATTCTTCAAAGTCTTGTTCGTTGTAGATGTCTTCTTCTGAGACCGGGGGATCATGTTGGGTTCTGGGTATTAGCTGCGGGTGACTTCTCGTGTAATACTGTAACCAATGTGTTCTAGCTTCGATGAATGTGTCTGCTTGTTCTCTAGTATGAAGTCTGGTGGAATCGGGTTGGGGAAAAGGGGGTGGTGCTGTTGTTCTGTCTTGTCTTGACGACACTGGGGGTGTGGCTGTCTGAGTAGGTTCTGCTCTGGTCTGTGCCCTGGTAGTGGGTTTTCTTCCTTGCGTCCCTTTGCTAGAAAGTGTGGGAATGACGGTGTAGAATATGATTGTTTTGTTACGCTTGGAATGTGCAAGCCTGGTAACACTGGGTTTCTGATATGTGAAGGGTTTCTGATAAGCTCGTTGTAGATGAGTTTGAGACGTATTCTGATGATGAGGGTTTCAACTGATGAATACCAAGTTACACTGTTGAAGCGTACAATCGTATTGGAGATAGTAACTACAATACAGGCCTATATATATAGTGTCTACTTTAGGGTAGGTGTTTGTGTTGAACAAACAAGGACAGGTGGTACCGTAACAGGCAATGTGTGTGGGAAAGTATAGGTAAGTAGCAGAGCGTAGCTACTTGTGAAGAGAAATAAAGTCTATGGTGAATACAGTTCGTAACACAGGGCCAGCTTGCAGCTAAGTATCAAAATTGTGTTGCTCACCCATTATTAACATTTTTCCTAGGAATCTTGCCATGGCCACGCTCAATGTAAGTACATTGTTGGTTTGCACCATAGTTTCTAACTTTATACTCCAATAGCACCCATCTTCTTTGGAAGGTTTTCCCATCTGATGCCACAGTACCCCACTGACCAAACCCAAAGTACATCCATCCCATTATTTTCTTGATTTCTCTCTCACTTATCCCTGTTGTAGTTTAACACTTTCCTATTTAAAGGACCTTAGCAGTTTTATCACACCTTTATGGACACCCTTATCAAGGCAGAGGCAGCTCCCTTGAAGATTTACTGCCCTGCCCAGGCATTGAGGACATACTCAAAATCTATCTTAATTAAAAATTACAGCAGCCCCATTCCAGAGCACAAACAAGATCTTATCCTCTTCCATTTCAAAACCTTGATGTTTTCCACTCATTCAAATTCTCCTTTGAGACTCTTGGAAACAATGTGGACTTGTTTGATAACCAAATGGATGCTGTAAAGGCAAAACCCTCAAGCGTTGGTGGACATCATCCTGGGTTTGATACTATTATAGTAATGAACTCCAATGACTGTGAATCAACAGGTTTGACAGGTAAGTTCCATAATATAAAGCTCTATCTCCTATCTGTTTAACAGTTGTACCAGGCACAAGAAATGGATGTCTCAGAGTGATCTTCAAGTTACCTACAACTTTATATAGCACACATAGTGCCCCTTCTAACTGGCCCAAAGATCATAATTGTCTAAGGCCAACAGCTGAAAACAACCATATGATGTACTCTGTCACCAAACCTGGGCCTAATGTTTCTGGCTACCTGCCTGGTGATATTATACCCCTTTCTGCAATTAGACAGGTTTGTCATTTGATTCCAGTCTTTGGGGGAAATAGAGATACTTGTCCATTTAATTGGACTCACAGTAATGTTTTGGATGTTTGTACAAATTTTATCTCAACAATTTTAGTAGTAAATACACTTATCAGACATTATGGTAAATTTAAATTATGAATATTATTGTTTTGTTTTTAGCTAAATCTTGTGCTATAAAGGCTATAATTGCATTTATAGGGCTATGGTTGCTATAAAAGCATCCATATATACATATGGTGGCTATATAGCGCTACATAGCAAAAGAGTTTTTCCTGATGCATCTTCTCTCCAGAAGGGAGATCTACAGACATGGTATGTAAGCAATAAGGAATATGTACATGAAATTGTACTCACCAGGATTTATCTCCAATGCCTTGGCATGAACAAGCACATTGAAGATGTTGGGGGCCCGACTCTTCTTCACAATATTATGGAACCCAGCTAGGGCCTTGATCTGTTTGATACTGGTATTGTGCTTTGTGGTGAGGGCACTAATTGGTGCATTAGTATTCCCAACCAGATCCTGCAAATTGTCCACAAGTTGTGCTTTAACTAGACATTTCCTTTCAGAAACTAGCTTACGAGAAGCTTTTTTGGCTTCTGTGAGTTGGCGGGGTGGTGCAGGCAGTGGTTAAGTAATGTTGAAGGCTCGAGTTGGGTTTTGTGTGTAAGGACCATTCACTTTCTTATCTTCTCACTCTATGTCTTGGTTCTCGAATACTTTTCCTGTTACACCTTTGGCTTTAGGGCTGGAGGTATCTTTTGCGATCCTGCTTCTCATAGCCCTCACAGGCTTTCTCAATCATTGTTACCATTTTGTATTGCAGATCAGAGACTGGGTATTGCTCCCAGCCAGCCAGCACAATGAGTAAGGACTGGTGGTTAGCATCTTGCCAACCAGCTTCAAGCCCCATCAGTGCCTGGAAAATACTAATAGACACTTTAGTCAGGATCGTACCTCATCATAAGGATACGGTTCCTGGACATGTGTGACAACGCTTATTATTAGTACACTTTCTCACCTGCTGATTAATCTTCAAAGTCATACAATAGTTGTCTTTTTTCTTATTGGTTGATTTTCCCCTCAGACCACTTTTCTCTTATTCCTCTTTCAGTCTGAGGGATAGACAGTTAGCTATATAAAGCCTTACCTATTCATGTATAGTTCCTTAGTTTTCTATTACTTGAATTATCCGCTTTACTCCTCATCAGAAACCCCTGAGTCTACTCCCATATCCTCTACTTGCTATATTCACTAGCATCTGTTGATCCTCAAGACTCACTGTACCTCTTGCTCCCTGCAAGTGCAGTCGGAGACAGGTATTGTTTTTGTTATATTTTATTGTTGCCTCACATCGTGCGGCCCATGTTGATTTGTCAACCCTCGTGGAAATTTGGCTGAATAGAGTATGGTCCATAGATAACAAGGCCTGGGTGGTGGCACATGCACCATCTGTCACAGCAGGGAAAACAGAGCCCTCATCTGATATGGATGGTTAATAGCCTATTCCTCATGTTGTGTACCGGGTCATTCACCACTAGCTTGATTTGTGGTACTGAGCTGGTCAGTCTCTGTTGTAGATGTTGGAATGCCAGGTTGTTGTGATAACACTGTCACTGTTGATAAGCTGGGGTGTTCAGGGTGATTCTGGCTTGCCGTCTGCTGGCTGGGTTGACATTGCCTGCTGTTTAGCAGGAAGTTCGTTTCCATAACCACCATCTGTAAAGACTTGAAACTCCTCCACTACATGGAGCATAATTTTGAGGTCAGGATCTGGGTAGAACAAACCATCAGAATTAGACAGCTCAGTAATTGTTACTCTTGGGTCATAAACAGGGGAGGGAATGGGGTATGTGAGTCACTAGGGAGGTTTGGAACCGACGGAGTACATGTATTGTAGTTGAATAACAATGGATACCCACTCTAGCTGGGGTCTGGTCCAGATCCAGCAAAACCTGTATGAGCATTCATAAGTGGTTAAAAAGAATGCTACCAAATAATGTCTCTACTTAGCATTATATATTCATATTGTAGTGTACAAGAAACTGACCTTATTACAAGGCCTTTTGGGCTGCTAATGTAGATGTGAAAAAAAAATGAGCCAAGGCAAGAGAGCCTGTCTTGATGGCTAATTTATGAAGAACTAGCCACATGATGTCCCAAGGACCTCATAAAAATCATGATCAACTAGGACCACTTGATACAGGTACAGCTGCTAGCACCACCATATGCCCCAAGAGCCATGAAATTTTGGCAATAACACTCTAAGCTCACGTGTGCACTGGGGCAAGCAGCATTAGTGAGAGGCTGAGGACAGGGGTATGCACTGATACAAGGTGAAGGGCTAATGTGCAGACATAGATGTGATATTTGGGGGGGTGTTATTACCTGCAGAGATCTCTTGCAAGGTCAGGCATATACATGGCAAGAGATTATTCAAGACAAAGCTGAGACAGCACTTACCTGTAGAATACCAGCATACCATAGATAACTTTGTCAAGAATTATTTGCAAAAGCCTGCCAAAAATGTATAAGCCTGAAAAAACCATTGTCTGCAAAACAAGACAACTCACTTTGCTTCAATGTCGGTTCAGATTTGCTCAACTTGTGTTGCTACATAATCTATTTTAATAACCAAGTATGGCTCTACAATATGCAACAATTTGAGCTTGAGAAAGTAAACATAAATCTCAGAAAGATGAGATTGAAATATTTGATAGCTGTAATAACCAAGAGTTAGTTACTCTGGCGCACACAAGAACACATTATAAAGAAGATGTTGAGGAAGTGGTTACCCCTTAAGCTGCAGAGAGTTTGTTGGTATACAACAGGAGGACTTGCTGAGGAGTCTCCTGGATCTATTGGGGTATATATACTACTACAGGTTTGTTTGTACATGTGTACTATACAGTTGATAGAGACAGTGGCCGATCATGTCATGGGGCCTAGCCCGCATGGCCAGCTCCACTGTGTGAGAGAGTTGTGTCTATAATAAGAAGAAAGGCAAAGTGGCGCGAGAGAGAGGAGTTTGGACAAAAGAGGAAGTGCCGTGTGGCACCATGTGTGAAAGCTAAAGTACAAGGTTAAAGCGGAGAATGAAAATAAAGGAAAGGTCCGAAAATTGTGTTATTGTAACAATAACTCTATGCTCACGTCAGTTGAAGTCACTGGGGTGATGATATTGTTGCACACCACAATCACCTTGTAGTGTCTTTTCAAAGTAGTTATGGGCTTGTGCATTCAGGCATTGCAGTGTAGCTTTGCTGTAAGCCCTCCTTGTGAGCATGTTGGATGAGCTCAATAACTTCCTGGGGGAACTGTCCACTTCATCTTGAGGTGCACCAGAATGTCTTCTTCTATCCACCTATTGTACATGGTTTTTACTCTTAGCTAGTGAACCTGGTAAACTGTATTTTATTACTAAATGCTAGCTGTTTGATACTGTGAAACTGTGACCGGGCTGGCACATTATATTGTAGAGGACTATGACTGAGTTGATCCCAGCCAATTAAGACAAGGCCTGACACTGGGAATAGTCCATGTTTATTTGGCTATAAAAAGTGAGCAATTGCCACAATCTCAGATTTGTGTACCACTTCATGCACTCTATGTGAAAGTTTCTGTCCATGACAAAAGTCCTTAAGTGATACTGCCTGAGGGGGTCTTGCTTCCAATGAAGTGAGACATTAATACCGGGCTGAGGGTAAGCCGGGCAAAACAATGCTAGAGACCCCAGGGAAGGGTAACAGCTGGGTTGGTGTGCAAATCCATGCCAATGCATATATTTCAAATATCTCTACTGCCGGGACACCCTCATGAACTCCTGATATCTATTTCAGAGGGGGAAAATATTATGGAGGTTCCCGGGGAAGTCTTGGTCGTCACATATATGATAAATAATAATAATAATACTGTCAAGTGATCAAAATATCAAGTCAGTGAACTTATGCTGTCTGTAATGTATGTTAAGTCTTTGAATCCTATGATGCATGTTTGACTTGCTGTTCTGTTGTTGAATATCCTTATAAGCCTGCCCTAAACTTGTGCACAGTATACTGAATTCAATCAGATGATTCATTGAATCTTTACAAATATTAACATATATTGTAATATAAAAGTCTGTGGTATTACATTGATAAATTGATGAGAAATAAAAAAAGAGACTCCAGAAATGGTAAAGGATAATAATATAATCTGATAATAAAACACTTTAGTAAGAAGGGTAAGTATTTGGGAATAATTTACTTGCCAGTCACGGATAAAGCCAGTCAGGATTTTGGGATACACCATATTGACAGTGTGTTTGTCATCTTAACCATGCAAAAATGACACTTTAATTCTCTCTTCTGAAGTGCAGTGAGACAATGCAACATAAAATTGTCCATGTGAAAACACTGGAACATGTAAATCCAGCCCAACCTGTGTCACTGATTGACATTGATATTTGTTGATGGTCATGGCAAAGGCAACACGGGCAGGGAAATGACAAAGTGATAGCTTGATGGGCAATTCTTCCAATGAAAGTTCCAATGTGAGACATGGAATAAAAGCTATCTTTCCTACATGTTTTCCTCCCAAGGCACGGCACTTCAATATTCTTCTCTTCATCTCTATCAAAATCATGCGTGTTCTATTATAGAGTCCGTTTAGGGGATCAATATTACAGAGGAGCATAAGTGGACATCCAGCTTTAACTTGGAGGTGCACTTCAGGAAGGCCAGATACTTGCAAGGAGTTCAAGAATTCCATAGGATAATATTCATACCCCTCTCCAACCACTTTATCAATTGACAGAGCTACAAACTCTTCTCCAGGGAATTTTGTGAGGATTGCTGAATTAAGGTCACTAACAGCATCATTTTTTGCGGAGAGGATGATGCGGTGGAGGAAATGATGGTCATCTTGGTCTCCATTTGAAATTCTAGGATAGGTAGTGTCGCCTAATAAGTCTATGGTGTTTTCTGGCATAAGCATGTTGGTGGGGAGCTCAATAATTCCATCTCCTGCAATTTCACAACCACCACCAACGTCCAGGGGCCAATTTGATGTGGCTATGATTTTCACTACAATTGTTGAATGTTCGTATAAGTGTGAGAATTTTTCAGAGTGGCTACAATTTTCACTGCATTCACTACTACTGTACTGCTGCTCCTGTGTTGCCACAAAAACCATGTGAGCAAAAGTAAGCAAAATAAGTGACACAATGTAGCTTGCACACAGCATTTGGGACCACTTCCCCCTTTGTTATAGATTATGTTGCCATTGATGTTGGTGGAGTCAGTCCTTGTGGGCATGTCACCATTTGTGATTACTTCTTCCCATAATTCTCCTTCCTCATTGTCTGATGGGGCACCCAGTAAATTGTCCCGGGTACCGCTGTAGTAGGGCGGATGCGGATCCTGAGAGGAGGTGGCAAGGGTCCACCTCAAGGCAGCAAGGTGGACTCATGGCAGACACATGTACAATACATGGACTCACATATAGACATCAGAGGGTTTCCAGTTCTCTTAGTTCCTGTAGCTACCAGAACCAGTTAGCCGTAGAGCCCAGGTCTTCTCCAGATTATCCCTGTTCCACCGTCTCCTCATCAAGGCCAAGGCAGCTCCCTTGAAGAGCTACTACGCCCTTGAAGGCATGCTCCACATCCTATTTCCCCTATCTGACCTCTTCCCACCTA